GTCTCTAATATTCTTGTTTTTGGTGTTCTTTGCAAGCTCATCAATTTTGTCTTTCAGATATTCCCTCTTTTTGTTCCTGAAATGCCTGCTGGTTTCATGTCTTATGTTGTTCAGATTATCACCATTTAACTCGCTTGGATCCTGTAACCATTGCAATTTGTCCTTTCTTTTGTCTAATAATTTTGAGCATCCTTCATCGAACCATGGCTTGTTCTTCTTTGGTTCATAATAACATAGACTCTCTTTGGCAGACATTTTTATATTCTCTCTAGTAGTTTCCCAAGCTTTAGTAGCATCCACCTTAGTGTCCAAGTTTTCCAAAGCTGCGAACCTATTTGAGATTTCAATACAATACTGTTTTTTACCCTCTACCTTGTTTAATTTCTTGAGATTGAACCTCTCCATATGAACTCAGTGTGTTGTTTGTTTGCTCACTGCCAGTCTTTCCCTAACCTTTGCCACCACCAGGTAGTGGTCAGTATCACAATCTGCTGCCCTGAATGATCGGACATCAAGTATGCTTGAGTGCCATCTCCTATTATCAAAATATGGTCTATTTGACTGAGTACCTTCCCATCAGGAAATGTCCAAGTAAATTTATGGATGTTATGATGTGGGAACATTGTACTTTTGACAGTAAGATTTTTTGATGTGGCAAAGTTTACTACTCTAACTCCATTGTCATCACTAGTTTCATGCAAACTCTCATTCCCAATTATGTCATCAATTTTGTCGTCTGTTGGGGCATTAACATTCATAAGAATGATATGACACCAGCGACCTTTTAGTATTATACAGTATATGATATCCTATCACTAACGAACTCTGCCCTCTTAACTGCTGATATGATTCTCTTATGTACGAGAAAACCTGGTCCCAATTCATGATTTCCATTCCCCTTTCCACTAACTTATATATTAATATTTCCTCTACCACTGGCATGAGCAAACCTGCCCTATACATACTTCTGACGTTCCAGGTACTGAATCTCATATCCATTTTCTTTAGCCACGGTCATTTATCCAGAGGATCCATCCAGGTCTGAGGCTCTGTGTTCATTTTCATAACATGATTTTTTTACGATGATGAGTTGTTAGCCCCACGCTCAACACCCAAGCTGGAGGACGACCTCTTGTTGGCTGTCCATGACTGCTTATTCAAAAAAATCAGCTTCCCTCCATACCTGGAGGGCATCTCCTCCATCCACAACCTGAGGACGTGCCATGCTATGGTGACAAGGACCCACCTAACATGGAAAATATATCTACCACTGTATAAAATCAGATTCAAGCAACCGAAGAAAACAATTATAAGAAAGAACGCACTTCTGTAACTGGTTTTTGTGAGCAGTATAAGGCAGTGTGCAGTGTTAACCTGAAACTTACATTTTTACTGATGAAGCAGATTTCTGAAGTATCATGTGCCATTACTGCTGCATGAATAGTAGCACCCATATTTTTGAACAGGCTATTAATTCAGAATGGTATGTCAGTGACATTCTTCAGCTCTTTTTTTTTTGAGAGCATTATGGAATGATAAGACATTATCTTATACAAGATGGTGCTAGGGCCGTGCCATAGCTCAAGTGGTTAGTCACTGGCTTCCCACCACGGTGGCCTGGGTTTGATCCCGGGTCTGGTCAAGTGGGATTTGTGGTGGACAAAGTGGTGCTGGAGCAAGTTTTCTCAGAGTACTTCGGTGTCTCCTGCCAATCTTCATTCCACCAATTGCTCCACAGTCACCCTCACCTATCATCTGGGGCTGGTACAATAGGCCAGAAGTGGCCACAGTGCAAGGGACTTAGTCCCACCCCACTAGCAATAAAAAAAAACATGGAATAATTAACTTTACTGTAAAAACAAGCAGGGCCTTTATATACAGTATTTTATCCATTTTAGATAGATGAAAAATTAAGGAACTGAGTTTATACCGCAGTATTTATACCAGGTGTCACGTAACTTCGAACAAGGCTAAGAGTAACCTTGAATGCGCAGAAGAAAAATTTCTGACAAGGGGGTGGAGGGTGTGAGAAGTGACAGGCGGCCAGTGGAAGAACAAGTGTTAAAAAACTCCGCCCACCACAAGCTATGCGCGGGATTTGACTAGGAATGCGGGGCCTTGTTCGAAGTTACGCGACACTGTCTATAAACTAGACTAGTGAATTCCAGCTCAGATCAACCATACCCATCCATCATTTGACAAATACCTTAAAACAACACAGGGAACTTAACACATGATACTACCAGCCAGGAATTTTCATGTAACAAGAGTAGTTCCTACCACACCCTGCAAGCTGTAATGGTATGCAAAAAGAAGGCTTATTGGTGCAGCTGGCCTCAAAATACTTCCTATCTTTGGTCAGAGTGGTCTAAGACATGTAAAGAAGGGAACTACAAAAGTTATGTAAGCAGACTGGGGCACACGGTACCATAGTTGGTTGAGGCAGTATGCTACAAGCCGGAAGGTCGCGGGTTCAAGTCCCAATGAGGTCATTACATTTTTTTCAGTTGACCTAATCCTTGCAGCCACACTATGGCCCTGGGGTCAACTCAGCCTCTAACAGGAATGAGTGCCAGGAATATTCTTGGGTGTAAAGGGCAGCCGGTGCATAAGGTTGACAACCTTGCCGCCATCTATGAGCAGAGTGTCTAGAAAATGTGGAAACCTCAGCATCTCACAACCCTATGGGCCTCCATGGCCTGTTACAGGGATACCTTTACTTTACTTTTACTTTTTATGTAAGCAGACTATGTTACTGAGCAGAGAGATTCATTTGTTTCCAAGAGACTCATGTATCATTTATACTTTGATGTAAAGGCTGAAATGACATCTAACATCTAACAGGACTAGAGTATAACAGACTTGGGTTACATGATCTTCAGACTCTCGTTGCAGAAGAGACAAATTAACACCATTATGTCTGAAACATGTTTTAATGTCATAGATTAATACAAATGTTTAACAGCATGTAAAGATTGATTTATCATCTCCAGGTAACCTCCACAGCATCTGTGCGGTACCTGAAAAAAAGATCAATTCAGGTTAATCAGATAGCATCATTATGGCATGTAATATTTCAGGTTTTCACAGCAGTAAAAATTCACGCTGTAAGCTTCTGGGTTAAAAGAAAAGTGTTGTCTGCCAGGCTACCATATGATGTCAAAACCCAGAAGACTACATGCTAACACACATGGCACTTTCTCCACACCAGGTATAGCAGATATGCTGCTACAGTTTGGTCTTCTGAAATTATAAGTGGCATTTCCTTGACATCAGATGTAATGGTGATATTGCTATGATTCAGTTTTTTGGAATTAGGTATTAGTACTTCTTCCACACTGACAGAAGCAGTTGGACACTCATGGCTTAATCTTCTGGAATACTGTAGTTAACATTTCCATTATAACAGATATAACAGTGACACCGCCATGCTGTCTTGTTGAAACAAACATATTTTCCACTTGATATAATGACCATTTCCACAACACTAACTGCACTGTTTAGACCACCATGTCTCTAACTTCTGGAATTAATGACTGCATATCCTCCACTAAAGATACAATAGTTATACCAACATGGATCAGTCAGAAGTGTCTCGTTTATGAAAATAGAATGCACTGAGTGAAGTTGTGGTGTGACAGGTTTTGTGAGATGCAACCCAGATGCAATACTGGCCTGTACTAAATTCCTCACCTCTGTGTAACAGTTGTATCATGCCACTTGGTCACATTGCCAGACTTGAACATCTCCAAGCCAGCCTGTGCAATCATCACCCCATTGTCAATGCAGAATCTCTCATCTGTAGCAAACAACTTTGCTCCTCTCTCATCACACATGGCCCCCATCATTTCCTGCAGACGCATATTGCAACCAACGCCACCAACTATGAGAACTTCCTGTGACCCACAGTGAGCCATGGCTCGCTCTGCAATATGTAAGTACAAGCAGGTAGAATTCCTTATCTCACAGGTCTTCTGACTGACAGATGGTAGAAGTGGACTGGACTTTGTTCTATTTATTCTGGTACGTTATGATGCTGTATTGACGCCTTATGTTTTTCAAGCCTGAATCATACAAGTGGCTGAAGGCATTATCCACAACGTTGCTGAGCAGAGAAAGAAGGAAAGGTTACATATGGGGTATAAGAAACTGTATGACATACATCTTATCTCTTACATTTCCACAAGACATTCTTGTCTACTCTTGTTATCCTACAGTTTCCTCAACTTACAAACAATGCTTATCTCAAAATTAAAAGCAACGAACCTGTGATTTCCACCAACATTGCAAACAATGTTTCTTGGAGAGAGAAACATAGGTCTTCTGGAGAGTACTTCCCGCTATTCAAAAGTTGATGACTTTGTTTCTGAATATATGAGAGAATTCCAGAGAAGGATACGTCCATTCCTTTCACCACATATGGCAAGGGTAATAATTTCTTACCTCTGAAAAATGATCAAACATTAATATCTAGTAAGCGGCCTGGGGTAACGTTCCCACCTCATGACTCAAGGTACACGGGTTCAAACCCGGCGGAGGTCGTGGAATTTTTAAGGGCAGAAAAATTCAGGGAACAAGTCCTCCAGGAGGGACTTTAAGCCGTGGGTCCCGTGTCGTAGATTTACGGCACGTAAAAGATCTTCATGTCTCTAGGAGACCTCTGAGCAAAATTAGGCAAAGTTTCCAATGCCTCCGGTAGATGGGGGAAGTATTGGGAACCACTGCCAGCTTTGCTGGCTGAACAGGGCTGATTGCGAGCACCAGTACCGGCAGGGTATGGCGACTGGTAGAATATCAAAGGGGGACGTCCAATAGACTATTACTCGTGGTGCATGGGGAAACCCACCTCCTCTAATAAATAATATCCAGTAGTAAAGAAAGTGAAGGGAAAATTGAAAAGAAGGACATCAGATAAATCCAGCTAAGATCACAATTTCATCACACTGTGAAGGTCCTACTTTGGGATGTGAAGGAGAGCTGCAAACTGCTTAGGACAGGCAACCACAGACTGCAGTTTCAAGATATGTGGGTGAACCCATGCTGACTGAGCAAGACTATTCAGAGCAGCTCACAACAAAATTCCTCAAGCTGTCCTAAATATTCTGCAGTCCATACATCATGGCAGATAACAGTACAGAACCCACAATTCATAAGAAATTTACAAAATGTGAGTGGATCTATAAATACTGTCTAACTGACAAGCAGCAGCAACAATAACACAAAGTACTAACTCTTTTGCCAGCTTTTCAATGTTGTATCCTGGGCTGGGATCATTGGACAATTTTAGCACCCTTGCAAACCTGTCAAGGCAGTTGCCTATGGCTATGTCAATAGTTTCACCAAAGATCCTGTATCTGTTTCTGGAGTAAGCTATCACCTGTGTGTTACCACCACTGACATACAGCACTGTTGGGTTGTCACTTCCTGTTATTAATCTCCCCATTTCGATGTCTGATTGAAATGTTAAGGATAAGTGTTAATAGAAGTGTTAATAGACTGTTTACAACATCTCTTAGGGTGCATCATACTTTGAGTATGCAACTTTATGCAAGAAAGGTCTTGTGTCTTCAACAAGATCACGCACAAGGCAAACACAGTTTATTGGTTTCACAATTTAATACCAGCATTCACAAAATCAGTAACATATTTGTAGTTGTAAATAAAGTTGTCATAAACTGCATTCAACAAAGAAAAACCCACAAAAGGGGATCTGTTACACGTACTCATGGATGAAAGAAGAAAGCGTACATTATTGCTGTAAAACTGTCATAAACATAACATGTTCCTGCTTTGATTTCTTTTTCGTGTTACTGTGTGTGTGTGTGTGTGAGAGAGAGAGAGAGTGTATTTAGAGGCACAACAACATCTAAGGCTATAAGTGCCTGGATAAAATCAAGATCACTTTTCATGAAACAAAGTATAATATTAATTAGAAGCAAAGGTGTGCCAGACTGTACAGTAGCATAACATTTTCCAAAAACAATAAAAGAATTATAAATATTGTGATAAAGAATCTTAATACAAGAAGCCAGCAAATATTTAAAACAATATGAATAAAACCACTCAAACTGTAGAACAGAATTAAGTGAATTAAATATATACATGAACCCCATACCTCTAAGAAATGTCACAGTATTAGACAAGTTACAGCCATCATTTCCCAGATGTCATGTAATGCACCAATAAGATGGAATTTTTGGTGTTCCTCATAACATGGGCACACAGTGGTTACAAAAAAGATTCCAGGTCACCTGTTAACAAATGACTGTGTGTGTCTGAAGCCATGCAACAGTAACATCATAGGAGAAATGCCACACCTGCATGGATGGTTTCACAGCTCGCAGTTTGCCAACCACTGTCTGTGTCAATTTGTCTTGCCATGATGAAACAGTCCCCTCATTGGTGGCTCCATCCTATTGTGGTGAGGGGGTTTGAGTATGCCAAGGACCCTGAGAGCTATACCAGCGGTAGTGTAGCTACTGGCAGGGCCTCCCTTGCTGGATAGGTCAAAGGGTTGGCATCAGACGAAGAGACACACCAAAAACTGATGCCGGAAGCAGCATCATCAGCAGCAACTTGAAGCACAGAGCAAATGATGCTCGAGATGGTTCAAGTTCATATAGCAACAGGCGTGACCAGAGTGGTTTGAATGGCTATTGTACTGTCTCTTTCCAAAAACAGAGATACCATGTATGTGAGATGTTTCCTCTGGAGACAAAACAATCCAGAGGTAAACTACTCTCCCAATCGGATCTTCGGGGGGGGAGTAGATCAGAGGCAAGTGCTGAAAATTTGGGAAAATTATATTACAGAACTATATGATCGACCTAATCAGCCAGAAACCTTGGAAGTGGAGCCCGAAGTAGATACAGATGAGAAAGGACCATATATTTTACAAAGTGAGGTGGAAAAAGCTATCAAGGACATGAGGAATGGAAAGGCTACAGAAGATGATGATGTACCTGGAGATGTGCTTAAGTTACTGGGAGAAGGTGGTTTGAAAACACTGACAAAACTAATAAACACCATATATGAAACTGGGGAGTGGCCCAAGGACTTTACAGAAGTGACAATGATTGCCTTAAAGAAAAAGACAAAAGCTACAAAATGCAGTGACCATCACACAATAAGCCTTATTGCACATACAGCAAAGATACTTAAAAGAAGAATTGAAAGGAAAATAGAGGATATACTTGGAGAGGATCAGTTTGGATTTAGAAGAGGAAAAGGAACCAGGGATGCAATTGGGATGATGAGAATTATAGCAGAACGAACTTTGGAGATAGATGAAGAACTGTGTGCTTGCTTTACAGACTGGCAGAAGGCATTTCACCGTGTAAATTGGACCAAATTAATGCAGATTCTAAAGGAAATAGGTATCGATTGGTGTGAAAGAAGATTGATTAGTAAATTGTACATGGATCAGAAAGTTAGAGTGCGACTGGACAGAGGGGAGACAAGAAGTGTGAAGATTGGAAGAGGAGTTCGACAAGGATGCTGTTTATCAACAATTTTGTTCAACTTGTACAGTGAATGCCTTACCAAAGAAGCTCTGGACGGGCTTGGAGACTTCAAATTAGGAGGGCAAATTATTCAAACTATGAAATATGCAGATGACCTTGTGTTAATGGCTAAGGAAGAAACTGTGCTACAGGATGATTGATAGACTAATCGAAATTGGAAGGTGCTATGGCATGGAAATGAATGTGGAAAGAACAAAAGTAATGAAAATTTCGAGACAATCGTTTCCAATACATTACAGCTGATATTAATCCATGCACACAGTTCCCTGGTCATTATCTGCCTATCTTTATGGATGAGCTAAACGAGGCGCTGTTCACTGTGAGGGGTGGCAGCCAAGCAGGGATGCCCAGGGCATGGCTTGTCAAGCACTTCACTTTCGCCACTGTTGAAACGCACTACCCATCGCCTCACTGTGCTGACATCCACTGTATTGTCTCCGTACACCTTTAGCAAGCGTCGATGGATGTCAATGGGTGCAATTTGTTTGGCAGTGAGAAATTCAATAACACATCTGTGTTTCATATGCACTTCTATGTCAGACACCATTTTGGTAGACTGCTCTGCTGTTGCTATCTGTNCAAACTAACAGTACATTGGCGGGAAGACTAAACCTTTACTACAACTCCACCAACATCCAGCTCAGACATTACATATTAACACAAAAAAATAGGAGGCATTATATATGGAATGGCCTTTGTAAACTGTCATTATCTAGTAGAAACAAGGATGTCTGAACCACACAGCTGGAGATTAGGACAACATAATAATAAAAGTACAGTAAAATATTTGGATACCATACGAGTATATTATACTTTACAAGAACCACAATGAAAAATAAGGAACTGGGATACTCAGTTGGTATAGCAATGGGCTATACGCTGGATGATCCCAGTTCAATTCCCAGCTGTGCAAGATTTTTCTCTTCTCTATAGCATCCAGACCAACTCTGGGGTCCAGCCAGCCTCCTAGCCAATGGGTACCAGGGTGATTTCCCCAGGGATAAATCAGCAGATGCATGAAACCAACCACTCACCTCCATCTAGAGCCAAAGTTAAGAGAGGTGGAGCTATACCTCCACTCCCCCATCTCTTCATTGCACAGTGCTTAACTAATTAAGCACAGGGACAACTCTTTCTTTTACATGAAAAAATAAAAAGATAATTATCACTTCTCACAATCAATTGAAAGTTCTTCCAAGCAGACAATAAATTCTGGAAAGCCCTATGCTGCTTACTTTACTTTAAATGCTTCCTCCAAGCAGACAATAAATTCTGGAAAGCCCTATGCTGCTTACTTTACTTTAAATGCTTTCATCTATATGAAACAATGGTCACACAACTTGATGATTTATTTCAGCCCACTGTGGGAGCCTCTCACAGTGAAACAAGTATTAGTTTGCATGCTACCCAGCGACAATGTATGATGAGGTGACCCTCTAACACAACAGCATCAGTCACATCAGTAACAACTATGCTTGCAACAAGAGAACACCACAACTGCTAGTCTACACCACGAGCAATCGACAGAGCTCATCAGGCCTGAAGCTGCTTCAGGAGCTTCACTGGCCAGCCAACCTCATGACCACTAGCACCAGGAAGCCCACTACTGCAAGTGCTCTGCCTGGCATGCCAGCGGCTGCCATCATTGGGCTGCTGCAAGGAAAAATGCCGTCGCTAGCTCAGGCTAACCCACAATAAAGGGAGTTTTCGCCGGTATTCATCTCGCATGCTCTGCTTCCCTGCTAATCTGTGATATTCAGCCTAACACCAATAAACATTTGTTATAGATTTACTTGGTTGTCTCTTCAAGCACTGACATCCACGCCATAATATCCACCAGTACTAATTCCCAGTATGAGAGCTGCCAGACAACACCAAACTCTCACATCACTGCCATATCAGTAATTTTTAAAAAGAACAAAAAAGTAGTAATGCCTTCAGGCTTGTCTTCAGTAGTCCATTACTCACTGCCATCAAACAAATATGTAAATACAAATTTTAAGTAGGTACCATATTGAAGAAAGTCGTCTTCTGGGTTTAGGCACCGTGTATTCTTCGTTTTGGCCGACGTTTCGGAGGAACGTAGCGCCTCCATCTTCAGAGCAGTTGAATGGCTTGGAATGCGGAGAGCAGTAGCTGTACCATATTGTTTCTATGTTCCACAAAATATAATTCCAGAAAACCATGTATTTTGTCTTTCAGCATACAAATTTCGGACTGTACACTTTGAGGTGATAGCATCACTCTTAACATCTGAAAGCTGCCAAGTTTATACTGCTCATGACGGGAAAATAAGAAGTAATCAGAGAAGTAGCCTCCAATGGCATATCTGTTTCTATGAAAATCTATTATTTTGATTATCAGGAATTAACAGACACACAATGGTGAGACCACACACCTGGAAAGGAGTGCAGACTCAAAATGAATGGCAGGAGTTATTCCACATAAGGATACGCCCAATGCAGTGATTCACACCAATTATTGGCTTGTTCCAAAGCTGAGCAATAGTTCTTGCCACTACTGCAACAGTCTGGAGTGGTGATGCCATGCCAGGACCCTTGGTGTAACAAACTATATCAATTTGTTCAGGCATGACAGCTGCTTCCTGCAATGCCTGTGACAGCACAGCAAGTATAACAGATCGGTGATGCTGGGCTGTCTCCCTTGGCAAGAAACCTGCACAAATCAATTCCAAATCAACTGCAGACTAGTGCTTACATACTGCTTTAACCTGTAACTAAACACTGTGGAGTAAGGTAGAGCACTCCTACTTTAGATACTTATCCTTGGAACCCAAGGTCCTAAAGGAGGTTAAAGAAGTGACTGTGTTATTCTGGTGGTAGCAACTACATGATCATACAGGCTAAGGAATGGATATGGCTCCATAAACACCACTTCCTTCCACACCCTGTCCAGCCATTTGGCAAGGACCATGAGGTAACCTGCGAGTAGAACTATAAAAGTGACCCACACTACCAAACCCCACCTTTTCTGAGAAGATCCCAAGCCTATACTGACCCTTAGGAAAGAGTGGGCAGAAGAATAATGATTTGAAAGTGGCCAGCCATGGCCTGTCATAGTATTATGCTGGAGAGACTGTCAAAAACCACAAATCTCTCAGTATAGCCAGTAATCTGGTCAGGACTGAAACCAGGCATCTATCAAATACAAGAGTACTTCTACACCAACCTGCTCATTTGCACAGTATCATGTAGAAATAAAGCAATCTCTTGTTAAGATTTTTGGCGTAGCTATATACAAAGGCAGCAATGCAAACAGCAATAACGATTATGCATGGCATATGCACACAACACTTTTCTTAAACAGACATATATGTCACACAGACCTAGCAAACACTCAGGCTAACATAGTGCAGCCAGATCACACATCATAATTATGTATTCAGGCTGACACTAAGAGGGAGAATTCACTCAGATTTCAATTTACTGAGTCGTGTTATCACATACATCACATTTTTACCACCTGCTACATTGATTAATGGCTTCTGCTGACCTCCTAGTCTCTTTTTTTGGCAAACAAACACAAATTTACAGTACCACTACAATCACATACAAAATATTTATATCCTTTAACCATACCATTTTTATTTTAATTATACAACTCCATACATTTCAAAAGTTTAATAGTTTTGTATATTCTAATTTTTATGTTTTTAGACAGCTGACGAGAAGACAAAAGGTTCTGAACTGAATGGTAGCAAGCATTACACAAGTTCAATCTCCTCTTAATTTTCTCCTCAATCAGGTTTTGATTTGTTATAGTCATTCCCAAATATCTGAACTGTGCCACATTTTCAAAACATCTGTTGCCTATTTTTATGCCATGATTTTGCCCTGCATTTTGGTGATGAGATAGCAACATATACTTAGTTTTCTCTGTGTTTACTTCTAGACCAACCTCCTTACTAGCGTCAATTAAAGTTTGTGTGTTTCTCTTTATGGTACCTATATTATCACCCAGTAGATTCACATCATCGGCACAGACCAACAGCTGATGTGTCCCATTTAATTTCAGTTCCATCTTGTTTTCTTGGACCTTCCTAATGGCATATTCTACAGTAGAGTTGTAAAGCAATGGCAAAAAAGCATCCAGACCATTCAGGATAGGAAAAATATCAGACATGTGTACCTATACAGACTTTACCATACATTTTGTTTAAACATATTTTAATCAGCCTAACTAATTTCATGGGTTTCCCAAACTCTATCAGAATATTGTACAATACTTCCCTCCTAACTGAATCATAGGCTTTCTTGAAGCTTAAGTACTGTCTCATTGTACTCCCAGTTTTTCTCCAGTATCTGACAAATGCAAAAGATGTGATCAGTAGTTGATCTGTTACATTGAAACTGGCAATAAATAAATGAACATGAACATGAACACTGATGATTCCCAATAATTTCATCTATGTATGGACTTAACCTTGAGAGAAGAATATTGGATAAAATTCTGTATGAAGTTGACAGCAGTGATACCCCACAATAATTACTACAGTCAGTTTTATCACCCTTCTTGTGAACTGGTACAATACTGAAGTCCTTCCACTGATCAGGCAATTTTTCCTTATTCCAAATAGAATTAATTAGCTTATGGATCTTAGAACATAATATTTCACATCCTGCTTGAGTAAGTTCTGCCAGAATTTGATCACTACCTGGCAATCTATACCATTTCAATTTTGCAATAGCACTTTCAACCTCAAATGGGCTAGGATCAGGTACCAATGGCTCAGCTGTATGTACATACGTAGGGCAGTCAAAAAGTTCCCTGAATTCCCGTGCAGACGGAGAACAAGCAATAAGATAGCGCACACACTGTTGTGGTGGGGAGCTCAGCATGTCTGCTCACAGGCGCAATAGGTCTGGACAGGTTTCAGTGTGCAGTGTCATTACTGTTCCATTTGAATTAGATGTGTTGGTCATTCGGCGCAATGTCGCAGTTCAAACAGCATGTGAACATCAAGTTGATGTGCAAATTGGGAAAATCTGCTTCAGAGGTGCAATCTGACCTGCAGCAAGTTTACAGTATACTGCACTAAAGAAATCCACACATCGCTTGTTGTGCAGCAATTCCTTGCCAAGAAAAACATTCCTGTCATCACTCAAACACCGTACTCTCCAGATCTCGCTCCAAATGACTTTTGGCTGTTCCCTACTCTGAAAATGGGCCTCAAGAGGACACGTTTTGCAACCATGGAGGACATTAAATCGAATGTGATGGCTCAGCTCCGGAAGATTCCAAAAGAAGCCTTCCACCGCTGCTTCCAACAATGGCAGAATCGATGGAGCAAGAGAGAGAGAGAGTGTGTGCGTGCGTGTGTGAGCACGCGCGCGCAAGGGTCCTACTTTGAAGGTGATTAGGTAAGCATTGCCATGTGTCCTACCATCAGAGTGCTATACCACCATTCCGGGAACTTTTTGTCTGCCCCTTGTATTTCTATCTGCTTAACATCACTGACCCTATGTACATGCAATAACTGAGAGAAGTGGTTCTTCAACTTATTCAAAATGTTGTGGGAACCTGCAAGCAGAGCACAATTCACATCCTTCACTAAGTTACTTCTAAGGTAAATGATACAAACTCCGTCCTAAGTGCAAACAATATATATTTATATGTCTTTGATCTTGTTCTTTCTACACTACATGTTTCGGCCTCTATCGGCCATCATCAGGTGTATACTCTTAACGTCGCTGCCACACTGAACCCAGTCTAAAACTTAACATTTAAAAACACAATGTCACATTCTTCGTATTATCAACATCTACATCGTTGATGTGTGTCTGGTATGTAGATTATGTTTCACACGTTGCACCCGATATTCTTGTAGTAGCACTCTAAGAATCTTTAGTTATGATGTTTTTAAAACCTTTTAAAATTTTNTGTGTGAGCACGCGCGCGCAAGGGTCCTACTTTGAAGGTGATTAGGTAAGCATTGCCATGTGTCCTACCATCAGAGTGCTATACCACCATTCCGGGAACTTTTTGACTGCCCCTTGTATTTCTATCTGCTTAACATCACTGACCCTATGTACATGCAATAACTGAGAGAAGTGGTTCTTCAACTTATTCAAAATGTTGTGGGAACCTGCAAGCAGAGCACAATTCACATCCTTCACTAAGTTACTTCTAAGGTAAATGATACAAACTCCGTCCTAAGTGCAAACAATATATATTTATATGTCTTTGATCTTGTTCTTTCTACACTACATGTTTCGGCCTCTATCGGCCATCATCAGGTGTATACTCTTAACGTCGCTGCCACACTGAACCCAGTCTAAAACTTAACATTTAAAAACACAATGTCACATTCTTCGTATTATCAACATCTACATCGTTGATATGTGTCTGGTATGTAGATTATGTTTCACACGTCGCACCCGATATTCTTGTAGTAGCACTCTAAAAATCTTTAGTTATGATGTTTTTAAAACCTTTTAAAATTTTTCTACAAATTTTAAATTTAAAATTTAAAATTCTTAGGGTTACTCGCCCTATGTCTACGTGCTGGAACAGCTAGTTCTTGTTTTCACACTGTATAGGTGTTATTTAATGTAGTCTTCTTGTGTGAGTGCCGCTGCTTGTCTGTACTATGTGTACAAGATCAAAGACATATAAATATATATTGTTTGCACGTAGGACGGAGTTTGTATCATTTATCGTGTTGAGTGCAACAGGATGCTTAAATATAATATTGTACTTCTAAGGTGGTAACCCCTCCTGAAATATATATATATCTCTATACAGATCTAATGTGCTTGTTCTTACTGTTCATTGCCAGCTCATCAATTTTGTCTTTCCAATATTCCTTCTTCTTATTCCTGAAATGCCTGGTGGTTTAACATCTTATATTGTTCAGATTATCTCCATTTCGATTGGATCCTGTAACCACTTTATACTTAAAGCAATTATACAATCCTCATTCCAACAAACTGTCCATAAGCAATATCACCGATATAGGTACAATAGGACATACGGAAGCTGACGTGCCGAGGGGACCTAATATGAATTCCACCTCACACCATACGAACTATTGTAATCTACTGTAATCTACTGTAAACAATTGTAAGTATTGTAACTTTATTCTCTTATTGTAATCAGCCAATGTACAGTAACTGACTTGTCCTATATCATGTAACAATGATCTATGGAGATGAAATAAATAAATAATTGTATAGGTCTTGTCAGCTTTGAAAGATTTTTGTGCTGCCATTCATTTTATACATTGGAAGAATATTTTGAATATGATATAAAGATATAATTTCTTTGTAATCATATATAGATTTCAATTATTAGGTTTTTTGGTATTGATTCTGTGCCCACAAATGTTATGATAGTGTGCATTGCTGTTTGACTATATGTATGTTTGTACTGCTTTTCCTTTTCTATTGGGTATGACAATTTCCATATCCTTATATTTTGTATGGATCTATGGAAATAAATGAATGTGAATGCAATTTGGTTTGTTTCCCTTGGTCTAATAATTTTGAGCAACCTTCATCAAGCCATGGTTTATGCTTCTTCAACTCGTAATAACCTAGACTCTCTTTGGCAGAAATACCAGAGGTTCACTATGAAACAATAACATACTCATTTGGTCAAGGATAAAGAAAAAATATGGATTCGTATTGAACAAAATTCAGTATTTAAGCACAGTGAGATACATCCGATGATGACCCAACTGGGGTCGAAATATGTCACAAATAATATTAATGTAAATAACCTTTGTTATTACTTTTACCTGAATTGTGTTGGCAGATATAAATGTACTATTTTGTTGATGGATTTTCAATTATGATGTGTAACAGATATTGAAAATACAGTTTTGATGAAGTATCACATTATTCTTAAAAGAGTAGTCATATTCTTGAGAGATACACCCAGTATATAGCATATGAAACTGAAATCTCAAAGGTAAACTTCAATTTCCACAAGTTATGATTCATACAACAACTCTCATGCTGTGAGACAGTAGTAACAACAGTTGTCTTAAAATGATTACCTTCACCAGGTGGAGTGATATATGTCTGTCTGCAATTGGACAAGACGACTCCATCACGCACAATACCAACACCAAGTTTGTTGGCACTGCCTTCAAATCCTATTGCAATCACCATGAATGAGCTGCAATGTAAGAATAAATGACAAAATTGTACAACTGCCTGCTCTCCACAGCCCTATCAAACACGAAGTTCCTCCCACCACACCTGATGGTGCACTGTCATTTCCAGAAAAAGTTGAAATATCTTAAGTTTAGAAGTTTCTAAAAAATGTATAGTTATTGTTTAAATAGTGGTTGCTTCTTCACGTATTTAAGAATACTTTCTTTCACTGCATACATTATGTACTGCAGCTGGGATAGTGCAGTCGGTATGGAGACTTGCTACAGGCTGGATGACCTAGGGGTTGGAGTTCTGAGTCCCAGTGGACTCAAGAATTTTGCCTTCTCCACATCATGCTTACTGGTTCTGGAACCCACCCAGCCCCTTAGCCAACAGATACAAGTGGCTCTTCCCCCAGAGGTAAAGTGGCCAGGGTGTGAAGCTGACCACTCACCTCTTACTAGCGCCACAATCAAAAAACCGTAGATACATATTCACTCTCTCATACGCCTTCTTGGTATAGTGCTTACTTAATTAAGCACAGGGACAACTTAACCTTTTATCATACATTATGTGCATTCACTCTGGGGGGACAAATGACAATGAATATTAATACATGTATTCAAGTAACGTCTTAAAAGATAAAATTTTCAGAACTGGGAAATATGGTTTAACGGAAATTGTGTTGTTACTCAAACTACAAAGTGACAAAACGACACATGTAACTTAATCCAGGATAGTGTGTGCAGCCCTAACAAACATACAGACAGAATGATCTCATAAGCTTAATTTTATTTTTTCCGAAATAAAGACTGTAGGCTAACAACCTGTTTGTCGAGAACCTGACTCTATTTTGTATGTGAAAGCTTCAGTTGTATTGTACGCGTACGTTCTGTTTTTTCATTACTTATCACACTTCTACATTCATTTCTATCTCTGGACACATTGACTGTAATGTATCTAGCAGGGCACAAAGAACTTCTTCATCGGCACTAAGTCTACAGTTGTTCCATTAATAGTTACAATGTCCTATACGTTCCCGCACTTGTTATAAAAAAGCAAATCAAATCATATTCGGACACTCAACACCGCATGCATTACATATCAACGACGATAGGAACGCGAAAGATCGGGACGATCGGGACTGATCACCGCGTTTTCGTCTACATATGTCAAAGAATCGAATTGCACACAATGTGTAGTTTCTTACTACCGCATATACGGTAAATGTAATCGACCTTAGCACGGAGTACCATAGCCGTAAACTTCCTGAACTTATCCCGGAGCTTCCAGCGTCAGTTTTCGTTTAGGGGACAGTAATCCATCGAGCATCCATGTATTGCAAGTTGCTTCGTGCTCGAATACGTGTTTCATTCATAATAGGCCGGGCGCACACCAAGCATACTGGCAACCACAACGCAACCACGATTTCCGAGAAATATCGCCGATTTCAAGAAGGCAACTGGTTTCCAAATTAGCTGGCGCACACTGAGAAAACTTACGTTCGACTATACAGGAGGAAAGAAAACAATGGGTGCACCCGTTCTTTCTCTACAATTTAAACTCGGGTGTTTATATTGTTTCGAAATAATTTAATCAGTTAATCAGGATACAGAACTATGCAAATCATTTTACAGAAGGAGCGCTGAAAGTTTTTCTTTATTAGTGGATATTGTAGGATTTCAAATTCGAAGGCCAGATACAAATTTTCGTACAGCTGTGTCAGCAGAACCATAGACAAAATTATAGTTTTGTATACTCTAATGTTTGTTTTTGGACAGCAGATGAGAAGACAAAAGGTTGTGGACTGAACGGTAGCAAGCATTACCAGAGTTCAATCGCCTCTTAATTTCCTCCTGAATAATGTTTTCGTTTGTTATAGTCGTTCCCAAATATTTGAACTGTGCCAAATTTTCAAAACTTCTGTTATCTATCTTTATGTCAGGATTTTGCTCTACATTTTGGTGACGAAACAGCAACACATACTTAGTTTTCACTGTGTTTACTTGTAGACCAACCTCCTTACTTGCATCAAATAAAGTTTTTTAAAGACAAAAAAAATTATGTTTTGCTTTATGGTATCTATATTATTACCCAGTAGATTCACATCAGCATAGACCAACAGCTGAAGTGTCCCATTCAATTTCGGTCCTACCTGGTTTTCCTGGACCTTGCTAATGGTATATTCTAAAGAAAACTTGAAAAGGACTGGTGATAAAGCATCTCCTTTTTTTTTAATTATTCAGAATAGGGAAATTATCAGAAAAATATTTAACTATACAGACTTTACAATACATTTAGTTTAAACACATTTTAACCAGCCTGATTAGTTTCCTGGGTATCCCTAACTCTTTGAGAATATTGTACAATACTTCCCTCCTAACTGAATCATAGGCTTTCTTGAAGTCTAGGAATAGCTCATGTACTCTTATTCTATTACCATTTTCTCCAATATCTGACAAATGCACAATAGCTGATCAGTAGTTCATCTGTTATGTCAAAACCCACACTAATCCCCAATAATTGCATCTATGTATGGACTTAACATTTAGACAATATTGGATAAAATTTTGCATGAAGTTGATAGCAGTGATATCCCCCGATAATTTCTACAGTCTATTTTATCGCCCTTCATGAGAATTGGTACAATAATATACACATTTTTTCCTTACGCCAGATAGAATTAATTAGCTTGTGGATCTTAGAATATAATATTTAGCCTCCTGCTTGAATAAGTTCTGCCAGAATTTGATCACTACCTGGCGATTTATACCTTTTCAATTTTGCAACAGCAATTTCAACCTCAAGAGGGCTAGGACCAGGTACTAACAGCTCAGCTGTATGTATTTCTATCTGCCTAACATCACTGACCCTATGTACATTCAATAATAGAGAAGTAGTTCTTCCACCTATTCAAAATGTTGTGGGGATCTGCAAGATCACAATTCTCATCCTTCACTAAGTTACTTCTAGGTTGTTAATCCCTCTCAGTCATTTATTCCTCTATACAGGTCTCTTAAGGTTCTTGTTCTTACTGTTCATTGCAAGCTCAACAATTTTGTCTTTCAGATATTCCCTCTTTTTATTCCTGAAATGCCTCCTGGTTTCATGTCTTATAACCACTGCAATTTGGCTTGTTTTCTTTGGTCTAATAATTGTGAGCCTCCTTCATCGAACCATGGCTTATACTTCTTCAGTTCAAAATAACCTAGACTCTCCTTAGCAGAAACTCTCATTCACAATCGTTGGTTTGAAAATGTCTTCCCTACCTACTTTGGCATCGAAATCGCCTAACATAATTTTCACATGGTACTTCAGGAATTTATCAAATACATGTTCTAGTTCTTCATATCAATTTTATGCTGCTGGTTTTCAGAGGCTTGTGAAGCGATGGGATAAGTGGCTCAAAGTACAGGGAGATTATGTTGAGAAACAAAAGCATTTTTTAGATCAGTATTTAAGTTCTATATCCATTTGTAACTTACTTATTGACTTACCCTTGTATGTGTGTGTGTGTGTGTTTATATATATATATGTATATATACACACACACACACACAACAAGCCATCATAAAAACGNGTGTGTGTGTGTGTGTGTGTGTGTGTGTGTGTATATACATATACAGGGTGTCCCAGGAGGAATGTGCCAAACTTCGGGAGGGTGTTCCTTATGTTAAAGTATGTCGATATAANTATAAGAAAAAAAATACCAATTACAAATCTCAATCTATGGTTTAAAATAATCTATTTGTACTTGTTGCTACTAAAACTCTCTTATTCCTTACTTCAGTCAACAACTTCGCAACAAGTACTTCATTTTCGTAAGTTTCACACACCTTCTCAGCCACAATTATCCAATCATATCCCTAATTTTCTGCTCTGTAGACAATTGCACAGATGATGTAAACAACGTTCCTTTTATGGAACAGCAGCAATAAAATGCAAAACTCAAACTTTATTTCCAACAATATATTCCTCTATGGTGACGAGCTCTTGTGCAATTAACTCCACACAAAACCTTTGGCTGGTTCATAAATTCTTTGTGCCATCTTAAAAAACAAACATGTTACAGAACTGATTTATAAGAATCCACGCGGCAACTCGATCGAACTCAATCATGTGAGGACTGGCATACTCCGTTGTCTGGAAATTAAGTTTCTCAGTCTCCTCACATGTTGTGTTCCTGTTTCCTCAATTTGCGCCGCCTCATTTACTAACATGTGTTCAACGCCAGCTGATAATATTTCTTGGAAATTGCGGTTGCGTTTCAGTTGCCATTTTCCTTGGTGTGCCCCCCGCCTTAGAAACCATAAAAATCCCAAGGAAATTGCTAACCGATGATGTAAAGAGTACTAATAGACACCAAAGTTTAAAGGAGTCACGGAATCATAATGAAGCCAAGGAAAGGGCGGAAGAAGGAACAACTCAACAGGTAGAGTTTGAAGCACAAAATCTGGGAAATGAAGGTACAAACAATGAAAAGGAAGACCTAGGAGAAGGTTTCAAGAGCAACAGAAATGGAAAATTCAGTGACCTACGTTTTAAAATGTACGATAAAGGGCCGTACAGCATCCACATAAAAGTCAAGAAGCCTGATACCCTGTCAGTGGAAAGAGAAAAGGTAAAGAAGTGGGGACAGTTTGACATCTTCAATGTTATGTCTAAATCTAAGATCAGTTTCAAATCCATTAGACAGTATGCTTGATTTATCTGGGAAGTGACCTCAGAAAGAATAGAAGTAATAAAGTTTTGGACAGCCCCGTAATCCAAAACGAAGGCCTACCTGCATACATACCAAGATATTTGGTTGTTAAAAAGGGAGCCATTAAAGATGTACCTGAGGATATGGAATTAGAAAATATGATGCAACAGCTCAACTTGGGCAATCAGAACAAACATCCCATACCGTTCCAGGTAATTGACGCAGTCAGACAAAGGAAGAAACCAAGGAAGAAAGATGGGTATGGAAAGAGTCGAGGGCAGTTATGTTTGACTTTTAGAACCAAGGAATTGACCCCTCATGTATATTTCTGCAGTATGAAAAATTGAAGTTACATTTATTCAGTACGACAATGTTACTAATGTGGGAAATTCTGCCACGTAAGTAAATTTTGTACAAAGGAAAAACAATGCTTCTCATATGGATAAGCAATACATGAAGGGTCTTGTATAAAAAAAAATCATAAATTGTAACAGGGACCACAGAGCAAACAGCGAGCGATGTCCTGTAATTAAAAAACCAAAAGAAATCAAAGCATGGCTCATAGAAATGTCAGATTTTTTGAAGCACAAAAAATTGTAAAAAATGGTCAAGCCATGTGTTCCCTTTAGTGTTGAAAGCCCCTGAGGGTACGCTGAACCAAATATGACGAACTTCCCCTTCCTCAAAACGCCAAGAAGACAAAAGGAGTGGGATACTACTGAGAAAAGCGAAAACAATAAAGTCCCGAGCCAAACGATTGGATTGAATCCGGAGAGAAGGCAATGGAAGATGAACACAGATAACAGCAGGACTCAAATATCTGAACCGAGTTCAAACAAGATTGAGCAAAGGAACAACTCTAAAGACCTGACAGTGTCAGAGAAATCTTTAGAAGAGTTGGAGTCCATTGAGATGGAGAATGAAGTCAAGAATGTATTGGTAACAATAATCAATTTAGTGATAAACTCCAGGGACGCTAAAGCAATGGTTAGACACCTATGGAAAGCCATTGAGCTTCATGAATAACACCACAATAAAATTCAATGGGAATCAACCAATTAAGATAGTTCTGTAGAACTATACCAGTTCTATAAAGGAAAGGGATTTTTTTACTAGTTCAGTGATTGCAGGCTTCTCAAGAAGGACTTTGCTCCATGGAGTTGGTACCTTTGATTACCACCTTTAAGTTAATGGGAAATTGATTTTTCTTTAATAAATGTGTGCTTAACAAACTTCATGGGACACAGTATTTTCATAAAACAAAGGATTAGTGTACTTGTACATTTAAACACATTCTCAATATTGAAACACCAATTTAAGCATATTCCCAACACTGCACATATCACATGTACATCATGGAGTAAACTATGCCAGTAATATTATATGAGATCAATTGTGTCTATGTACATTACAAGTTCTGAAATATGTACAAATGATAAAACACATCTCTGAATATTGTCCAGATGGAAAGACAGACCAGAACTTCACTTTCAACCCTTTGGCTACATGAAATGTATCGCTTGCTCTACC